CAACGTCAAGCACACTAACATCCATATTATATATGTCCCAGAAGGAGAAGAGAGAGATAAATGGGCAGAGAATCTATTTGAAGAAATAATAGCTGAAAACTCTCCTAACCTAAAGAAAGAAGCAGACATCCAGGTACAGGAAGCATAAAGACCACTAAACAAGATAAACCCAAAGAGGCCCAAATCAAGACACATTAAGATGTCAAGAATTAAAGATAAAGAGAGAATCTTAAAAGCCACAAGAGAAAGACAACAAGTTACATACAAAAGAAACCACATAAGCCATATGCTGATTTCTCAGCAGAAATCTCACAGGCTCGAAGGGAGTGACACCACAAATTTAATGTGCTGAAATGACAAAACCGACAGCCCAGAATTCTCTAATTGGCAAGGTTATCATTCATAATTGATGGAAAGATAAAGAATTACCCAGACAAGCAAAAACTAAACGAGTTTATAACCAAGAAAATAGCTTCACAAGAAATGCTAAAGGGACTTATTCAAGTGGAAAAGCGAAGACTACAAATAGGAATAAGAAAATTATCAAAAAAAAAGCAATAAAATCACTGGTAAAGGCAAAAATACAATAAAGGTAGCAGATCAACCAGCTATGAAGCTATTATGAAGGTCAAAAGACAAAAGTACTAAAATTGCCTATTTCCCTGATAAGAGGGTAACAGATACACATCTTAGGCTACCAAACAAGTCTGTTCTGCCACAGGCCCAGCTGGGCTAGGGTGGCAGGATATCTTGCCGAGAGATGGAAGAAATGACCCAGAGACTGCGAATGAGACACATATATTTATGGGGTCCTACTTATGGGAGCATGTCCAGTGGCGGCTGGCTGGATGGAAGTGTGCACCCTCAACCGCCACCTAATAGAAGCTTGCTTAAGTAGGCAGAGGAACAAAGGCTGCATACTTGCCAAAGGGCTGTCCTTGGTACGACCAGTGTTCCCAGGAACAGTAGCTCACATGGAGGGTCTCTGTGTCCCTGTAAGATGTGATGTTCTTCTAGTGGGACGAGGGAGGATCCAGGCTGGCCAGTCCCATATTGATACAAATCCTGGTAGCTGGGCTGCCAGAAGGACACATGGTTGCAATGGGCCTGGGGGCTTTTGCTGAACAAGCAAGACCCAGTCTGTACGAGTCTCAATAAATTTAAGATTGAAATAATACCGAGCATCTTTTCTGATCACAATGGTATGAAACTAGAAATCAACTATAGGAAGAAAATTGGAAAAGCCACATATCTGTGGAGATTAAACAAAATGCTACTGAACAACGATTAGGTCAATAAAGAAATAAGAGGACAAATCAAAAAATACCTGAAGACAACTGAAACTGAAAATACAGCATGCCAAAATCTATGGGATAAAGCAAAAGCGGTTCTAAGAGGGAGGTTTATAGCAATACAGGCCTACCTCAACAAACAAGAAAAATATCAAATAAACAATCTAGCAGTGCACATAAAGGAACTGGAAAAAGAACAAACAAAGCCCAAAATTAGTAGAAGGAAGGAAATAATAAAGATAGGAGCAGAAATAAATGAAATAGAGACTAAAAAACAATAGAAAAAATCAATTAAACTAAGAGTTGCTTCTTTGAAAAGATACAGAAAATTGATAAGCCTTTGGCCAGACTCATCAATAAAAAAGAGAAGGCTCAAATAAATAAAATCAGAAATGAAAGAGGAGAAATTACAATGGACACCTCAGAAATACAAAAGATTCTAAGAGAACACTATGAAAAGCTATACAACAACAAATTGGATAATCTAGAAAAATGGATACATTTTTAGAATTATACAACCTCCCAAAACTGAATCAAAAGAAGTGGACAATTGGGGCTGGCCCTGTGGCCGAGTGGTTAAGTTTGCGTGCTCCGCTGCAAGCGGCCCAGTGTTTCGTTGGTTCGAATCCTGGGTGCGGACATGGCACTGCTCATCAAACCACGCTGAGACAGCGTCCCACATGCCACAACTAGAAGGACCCACAACGAAGAATATACAACTATGTACTGGGGGGCTTTGGGGAGAAAAAGGAAAAAAATAAAATCTTTAAAAGAAAAAAAAAGTGTGGACAATTAGAATAGAGCAATCACCAGTAAGGATATCGAAAGTATAATCAAAGTTCTCCCCAAAAATAAAAGTCCAGGACCAGAAGGCTTGCCTGTTGAATTCTACCAAACATTCAAAGAAGACTTCATATCTATCCTTCTCAAATTTTTCAAAAAAATTGAAGAGGAGGGGAGGCTTCCTAACTCATTCTGTAAAGCAAACATTACCCTAATACTAAAATCAGACAAGTACAACACAAAAAAAGAAAATTACAGGCCAAAATTGCTGAAGAACATCAATGTAAAAATACTCAACAAAATACTAGCAAATTGAGTACAACTACATTATAAAGATCACACACCATGATCAACTCAGTTTATTCCAGCAATGGTTCAACATCCACAAATTAATCAATATAATACACCACATTAACAAAATGAAGAATAAAAATCACATGATCATCTCAATAGATGCAGAAAAAGAATTTGACAAGATACAGCATCCATTTATGATAAAAACCCTGAATAAAATGGGTATAGAGGGAAAGTACCTCAACATAATAAAGGACATATATGACAAATCTGTAGCTAACATCATTCTCAATGGAGAAAAGTTGAAAGCTACCGCTCTAAGAACAGGAACCAGACAAGGATGCCCACTTTCACCACACTTATTTAACACAGTATTGGAAGTCCTAGCAAGAGCAATCAGGCAAGAAAAAGAGATAAAAGGGATCCAAATCGGAAAGGAAGGAGTGAAACTGTCACTATTTGAAGATGACGTGATTTTATATATAGAAAACCCTAAAGAATCCACCAAAAAACTTTTAGAAATAATAAATGAATAAAGTAGCATTGCAGGATACAAAATCAAGGTACGAAAATCAGTTGTGTTTCTATACACGAACAATGAAGTAGCAGAAAGAAAAATTAAGAATACATCTGATTTACAATTGCAACAAAAATAATAAAATACCTAGGAATAAACTTAATCAAAGAGGTGAAAGACTTGTACAGTGAAAACTATAAAACATTCTTGAAAGAAAGAAATGAAGACACAAAGAAATGGAAAGATATTCCATGCTATTGGATTGGAAAACTTAACATATTTAAAATGTCCGTACTTCCTGAAGCAGTCTACAGGTTCAACGCAATCCCTACCAAAGTTCCAAGGACATTTTTCACAGAAATAGAACAAAGAATGCTAAAATTTACATGGAACAACAAAAGACCCCAAATAGCCAAAGGAATCCTGAGAAAAAAGAACAAAGCTGGAGTGATCAACTCCCTGACTCCAAAATATACCACAAAGCTAGTAGTAATCAAAACAGCATGGTACTGGCAGAAAAACAGACACACAGATCAATGGAATAGAATCGAGAGCCCAGAAATAAACCCACACATCTATGGACAACTAATTTTCGACAAGGGAGCCAAGAACACACAATGGAGAAAAGAAATGTTGGAGCAGTTGTGGAGAAAAGGGAACCCTCATACACTGCTGATGGGAATGCAAACTGGTGCAGCCACTATGGAAAACAGTATGGAAATTTCTCAAAAACTAAAAATAGAAATACCTTATGACCCAGCTATCCCACTACTGGGTATTTATCCAAAGAACTTGAGATCAAGAATGCAAAGAAACTTATACAACCCTATGTTCGTTGCAGCATTATTTATAATAGCCAAGATGTGGAAGCAACTCAAGTGTCCATAGACTGATGACTGGGTAAAGAAGATATGGTATATATATACAATGGAATACCACTCAGCCATAAAAAAAACAAAACCATCCCATTCACAACGACATGGATGAATCTTGAGGGTATTATGTTAAGTGGAATAAACCAGACAGAGAAAGACAAACACTGTATGTTTGTACTCAATTGTGGAGATAAACACATGGACAAAGAGAACTGTTCAGTGGTTACCAGGGGGATGGGGGTTAGCGGGTGGGCACAAAGGATGAAAGGGCACACTTATATGGTGACTGAGAAATAATAATGTACAACTGAAGTTTCACAATGTTATAAACTATCATAACCTCAACTTAAAAAATAGGTTAAAAATACAAAGAAAATGCATTTACTACTGGGTTTGTAGGTTTCTCGCTGATAATGATGTTAATGGCAGTGATAGGTGTAAGTTACATTTGTTGAGCACAAACCCATTTCCAAATACTTTTTTAAATCTCCTTTTGAGTGAAAGAAGCACGTAAATAATTACAAATTAAAGTTAATTTTCCTTTATCCATAGGGTCTGATTTGTTAGTATAAAAAGCATGAGTTAATTCTATATATAGATGGATGTCAGCCAATCCTAAACATTCTGAGGTCACTTCCAGGGGCTACAATAGAGCTGTGTTACTTTTAGTGAGGCTTGCCAGACACTGCTATTGTGGCTGTCTGAGGGTTACAGATCCAGTTGGAGCAGAATGAGAAACTAGATACATTTCTAAGCCCTATTTTATCTCACACTATTGCACAGGTTTCCACAGTGTAGGAAGCCTGCTTCCAGACACTTTTCTACTGGCCACAAGGAGGCATTATGATGCCACAGTTAGACAAAAAATCTTCTTTGATAGTTCCTTGAGGTTCCTTGATAGTCTTTGAAAAGTGGATGGAGATAGAGAAATTCCAGGCTTGGTTAAAGTGGGGGTAATTTGCAGGCATCAGTAATCCATCTGTGATGTGGATAGCAGAACAAAAAGAGATTATCTCAACAGGTTTATAAGTGAGACTTTAGCAAGAGTATTCATGTGTTGAGAAACCTCTAAGTTGCCTTACAGGATTTAAGAAACTAGGAGTGAGAAGGAGAGGCCTGGATGAACATGCGGCAGATATAGGAACAGGGACAGATAAGGGAACACATCTGCTTCATACCTGGTCCAGCCAAGCCCAGACTCCCTTGCCAAGAGGGAAGCTCTGTCTAATATCACACCAAGGAGTGACCCCCACCATGGTGAAGTCAACAGCAGCACTGTCATCACAGGGAGATCTACCTATCAGGGACCAGGGACTCTCTGAACTCCCACCTCTCAACACAGAGATCAGAGTCTGGAACAGACAGATACCCTGTTCCTGTCCTGGCCCTGCCATGGCTCTCAGGCTTCTCCACTGTGTGACCCTGTGTCTCCTTGGAATAGGTGAGGCCCAGTCTGAAAGGACATCTTTGACTGAAGCTATTGTGTCCTCATTTACATGCCTTCTTTTTATGGCAGCAATATCTGTCTCCTTCTTGACTCTGTCTCTAAATTTTCCTCCTTTCTCTGCAGGTCACATGGGTGCCATGGTCACCCAGAACCCGAGATACCAGATTACCAGGAAGGGAAATCCAGTGAACCTGAGTTGTTCTCAGAATCTGAATCATGACACTATGTACTGGTACCAACAGAAGCCGAGCCAAGCCCCAAAGCTGCTGTTCTACTACTATGATAAAGAATTTAACAATGAAACAGACACCTCCAACAACTTCCAATCCAGCCGGCCTAACACTTCCTTCTGTTCCCTTAGCATCCGCTCCCCAGGTGTGGGGGACTCAGCAGTGTATCTCTGTGCCAGCAGAGACACAGAGCCAAAGCACTGCCTCCCCACTGTGCATAAACCTCTGTTTCCCAGATGCAAGGACCTTCTTAGACCTCCCACCCCTCCTTCAACAATAGGAAGTGGGTTTATGGCTGTCTTTATCTCCTTTGTAGACAGAAGTTGGGCATAAAGCAAGAAAAACTGTTGACAGGCTAAGAATAGGAAAGTGCTTATATTTACCCAATATTCAGTTTGTGGTATTTTCCCAGAATTACCTTAATCTCACATTCTGTTTGCTTCAGTAGATAAACAGGAACTTTTTTTCAGTGTTTTTTTTTTTTTTTAAAAATCTAAGTTGCAGACTTAGAAATACTTTAAAGAGCAGGCCCAGGAAAGATGTAGCCCCACTCTCACGAATCCTTGCCCTAAGGAGAAGAAACTTCCCCTGCAGGCAAGTAGACGTGGTCTCACAATTTGTGTCAAATTTAAAGACAAATGATTTGCTTGGGGCATACATTACAGAATGTATTTAACCGTTTTGCCTGATAGAAATCTGTCTATGAATCATGTAAGTTGCACATAAATAGAACTCATATCAAAAGCTAGATGCTGTGCTCTGGAAGGTGTATTAAAATTACTAGAATTTGCCCCAATTTTTAACATTAATAAAAAATATACTCACTGTGTTTTGTTTGAAACCAAAGGGATTTCTGCGATCTATTAGAACAGCTTTCTAAAAACCAATATCTTATGGTCTTTACTAGTTAAAATACTTATGATGACTCATTGAATAAGTGGATGCATGGGCGAATAAAGTTCGTCAGTGGGAGAAGGAATTGGAATCCTCTAGCATGAGATTCAGAGGATGAGACTGTGTCCTCATTTTAATTTTGAAGAACACATAGATACGCCTGTTAAGCGATTTGTTTATTACTCCACCACAGACAGTCAACAACAAAGTCACATGCTTCCAACTTTTTAATCAAGAGCCGAAGAAGTGCTATCCAAGATCCAATTCTGCTAATTTTAAGTAAAAATCAGAGAAGCTAAAAACTGTCTTCTGGGCCACCTCCCATCTAACTACAATGTCCTGCTTTTCCTCTCTCTTGTACTCACCATATATCTACACCCCTTTTCTCACAAATTATTAAAGCTTGTGTCTTCATTCACCTGCCCAGATTTCTATTTTTTCTTTCATAAAATGAGATGTTGGGGATAGATGTCTCTGGGGCCTTTTCCTGCATTTTATGGCTCCATGATATGGCTTAGAAAATTGGTGCATCTTGATTGAAATGGCCAAAGAATTCAACCATTGGGTAGATTGGAGCTTCTTGAGATTATGTAAACACTCCACATCCTCCTGAATAAGGGGAGGAGAGAAATGAAGAGCAGAGACTCATCTCATTTCAGGCCCAGATAAAATGTAACACTCGAGATTGATGATGTAGATACTTCTGCTGCTCTGGTGTCCTGTCTGATCCTTATACCTGGATGGCTTTGAGAGATATGACGAAGGAGAAGGAGGTGGAAAGGGGAATGTTTGGACATTGTTAAGCAGAGCAGCAGAGAATTCCCTTCTTCTCTAGGGGTGTGAAGTTCACGAAAACTGTGGGGACACATTCCAAGAAGGAGGTAATCAAATCTTAGGAGAATCTGATAGAAAAATCTGGAAAATAAACATGAAGTCATGATGTTGGATGTTCTGGGATTTTAGAGAGAGTAAGGGAGCAAGAGTGAGTGGTGTCTTTTTATTGTTGTTCTTGTGGTAAGAACACTTAACATGAGATCTGCCCCCTTAAAATTTTAAGTGTAATGTAGTATACACATACAATAAAATATTCAGTCAAAAACAGAAGGAGATTCTTTAATATACACAACATGAGTGAACACTGAGAACATTACGCCAAGTGACATAAGCCTGTCACAGAAGGACCAATACTGCACGATCGCACTTCGACAGGAGTGAGCAGTTTCTTCCTGGGATTACGTCTCATCCAAGCTGCAGCCTCCTCTAATCTCTCTCATTTTTGTTCAGGACTTTCATTCTCCAAGGCCAAATAAGGACATAGTTTAAGAGTAGAATCTCTGTGAAGATCCAGTGCCATTATATGGATTTACAGGAACTATTTTCTAGAAATTTCAGTTTCCTCAGCACAGCTTTATACTGGTTGTGACCCTTATGGAGGGCCCCAAACCCACCTAAGAGAGATTGTTTAGTTCAGGTCCTCCAAGAAGTAGATTCCAAGCCTGGATTAGTCATGCAAGAGATTTGGTAGAGAAAATGCCTGTGAGAGAAAATGGGAAGGAAGCCGAGGAGGATGGGCCGTTATACTGTGTTGCAGATCTGACCACTATAAAGAGAAAGGAAAGGAAGAAAGGAGGAAAGGGTGGAAAGAAGCAAGAGATGAAAAAAAGGAAGCCTTAGGTTGCAGTACAGTTCTAAGAAAATCTCAGCAAGACTGGGCCGATCCTTAAGTCATAGCAGAGCTATGAAGCTCTGTCCTTATGGCCTGCCTCTCCCATGAGCAGAACCTCTGCACATGGCTCCAGAACTGGGGGCAGGGGCAGTGGCCCACTCCTCTCGGAATGATACCCCTGCTCTGAGTGGGTCCCTGGATGGGGTAATGTGCCCTCATCTTCTTGACTTGCCCCTCTCACATGGAAACTCTACACAATGAGCAAGCCAGAATGAGGAAGATTGGGACCTGGTATTCTTGGCCTGTTGTTTCTGGAATAGAGGGCCCAGCCTATGAGTGGGCAAGGGCACCAGGTAGAAGAAGGGAGCCCAGAACTATGGGCGGCACCAGCAACACAGTTTCTACAACATGGAGCTGGTGGAATGAGAAATGCTGGCAGCCTGCCCCTCACTGGGAGAAACTGAAGGACCCCTGTGTTCTCCACCATGTCCACAAGGAGCAGAGCATCTGTTACACGGAGCTTGGGGTGGTGCAGGAGGAAGGGAGTCACGACTCCAATGCCACAGACTCTTCCTGCCGTTAGTGAGAGAGAGTAGATTTTCTCAAATAAGTCTTTCTCTATTCACTGTATGCTCTTGGGACAATTTTCAGAGGCATTAAATGCTTGTTTCTAAACTTTCAGCAGCTATGTTTTTTCTCTGGGAAGAGGGTACTCAGAGCTCCTCATGCTGCCATTCTGGAAGCGCTTCTCCCCCCAATATAACTGTTTGTGCAAACAAGTGGCCAGCCCCTGGGCTGTAATTTACCAACTCCTGCTCTAGCCTAATTTTGTCCCACTACTAAAGCATGATGGCCATTCTGGGGATGGTGGTGAATCTTTTCTGTGGGTCCCTCTCTAGTATTTTTTGAAGTTTCTATTTACACAGACACAGATTTCTGTGGAAACAAAAATTCGTTCTGATCCCTGTGAAGATTTCTGGAGTTCTTGGTGGAGCGTCCGCCCCTCTGGCAGTCTTCCTCACAATTTCTAGCTGCTTCTGTCCCCTCTATCTTTCAACCTTGGTCTCCACAGCTCAGGAAACTTTCTGTCTCTGCTTTCCCCTCCTCACCGTGTGTAGACATCATCCCATGTTTTCTTGCTGTAGGAGAATCACAGTCCTGTGCTGCCTGTTTTCCAATGACTGAGTACCGTAGCTCCAGATATTCTGTTCTCTTTACTTCTATAGAGTAGGATTCTAAATTTAATAGATATATATAGATTCTGGAAATTGCATGTTAAAAATCAATAGACAGGAAATAAGAAATTTAATTGAAAATGATGTGAACGAAACTGAGAGAAGAGAAAGTTCCAGGACTTAGGATATAGTCAGTATTGTCAAATGCTTCAAAGGGATCAAGCAACTGAGAAACAAAAATAAGTTTTCGTTCTACTAAGTATATAATGTTAATCTTTAGGAGAATACTTTTGAAGGAGTATATAGAATGGAAGTATTCCTGAAAAAGGTGAAGATGGCATCTAAAGGAATGATTCCTCGTGATTCCTCCGTGATGAAAGTAAAGGCATCTTTGTATAAAGTCTATTGGATTCTGTGAAGTGATAACGTCACAGAGCAGCTTCTCACAGGGGATGAAAAAGCCTCAGAGAAAGTCCCCTGCCTCTGTTCCTCCCCTCATTCTACCATGAGTCCAATATTCATCTGCTTCATGGTCCTCAGTCATCTCCTGGGTGCAGGTAAGGCTGTTCTGAACTTGTCAGCTCCTGCCCTAAGCCTGTCGTCCATGCCATCAGACTCCCTCATGGGCTACGTCTCCAACTCTCATCTGCTTTCTTCACAGGCGTCCTCGATGCAGCAGTCACCCAGACTCCAGGGCAACTGATTAAAGGGAAAGAACAGAAAGTAAAAATGTATTGTGTCCCAAAAAAAGGACACCCTTTTATTTTCTGGTATCAACAAAACCTGGCAAAAGAGTTCAAGTTCTTGATTTCCTTCCAGAATGAAAATATCTTAGAAGAAACAGAAATGCCCAAGGAGAGATTTTCAGCTGAGTGTCCCCCAAACTCACCCTGTAGCCTGGAGATCCATCCCACAGAGCTGCAGGACTCAGCCGTGTATCTCTGTGCCAGCGGTGAATCCACAGTGTTCAATATTAGCTCATCTTCGTGCACAAACTCCTCCTGGGCCCAGCTCAGGAAGCCGGTGGTTTACTAGCTTGAAAAGAAATGACAGAAACTAACTAGAGCTAACTTGAGCCAAAGGGTGATTTACTGTGAGGCTAAATGTCTGTCCCCCAGAACCCCAAAACAAGAACACAGGGGTTTCTCAGGAACAGGTTGCAATGAAGTCCTGGAATCGTGATATGGCTGATTTGTCAACTCTTATTTCTCTGTCCACCTTGTTGGTCCCATTATTCTCCCTTATTATAAATCGTTTCCTCTCTTTCTTGATCTCATAGTGAATAGAAGATTATAGATTCTGATGTCAATGCTTCATCCATGCTGAGAAGGACCAACTCAACTTTCTTTCACGAAAGGGTATGAGTCCATAAAACAGAAAAAAATGATTCTATTTTACTGAAGAACATGTTCTCAGAAAACTCAACATTAGCTGAAAGTATTGGATTGTTTTGAACAACATGGTGACTGGGGCCTTTCACTTTGACCTTATGGATCAAAGATTTCAAAGAGAGAAATTCTCTAATTAGGGGCCAGGACACCCTAGGATTCCATCAAAGTGAGGAGTGAAGGTTAATTAAAACATTTGCTGGACACAGAGAATCTAGGAAAAGA